ATTTAAGGACGGCCTCCGCTGTGTGCAAGATGCATGCGTGTAGTGTATGCGTGTGTGTTTTGGGAGGCTGGGATATGTTCGTGTTTGTCTCCTTGTGATAGCGCGGAACTGATACCGACTTTATAGTGCTACCTCAATGAAACATACTGCAGAAGACACCCAGCAGGACACCCCATTCGGTAACATTATACTGACAACGGGCGAACCAGTCGTCCCAATCCTAAATTGCTGAGCGTTAAGCAGGAGTAGAAACTACCATTTTTACAGACTCTGGTATGTCTCGGCAAGGAGACAAAATAAAAAGCCTTCCTCACAGGGTCGAACGCTCAACTAAATGTCAAAAGTGAGGCATTGTCAATGGAGACATAAAGAAGAATAACGTTGTTTAGAAAGAAGAGGAAAGATACATTTAGTCGTCTCTTACGATCATGCAATGTGGGCAGCAGGTACAATTCCTACGCCCTACCTACAGGGACTTGTGTGGTATGAAGGTCGGTGATGTTCATTGTGTGGTATGACCGTCGGAAATGTGCATTAGTGTGGCATGGCGGTCGGTGACGCTCATTGTGAGGTATGACGGTCGGTGATGTTCATTGTGTGGTATGACGGTCGGTGACTCTCATTGTGGTATGAAGGTTGGTGATGTGTATTGTGTGGTATGAAGGTTGGTGATGTTCATTGTGCGTTATGACGGTCGGCGATGTTCATTGTCTGGTATGAAAGTCAGTGATAATCATAAGTGTAGTATGAAGGTTGGTAATGTCCATTGTGTGGTATGAAGGTCGGTGATGTTCATTGTGTGGTATGAAGGTCGGTGATGTTCATTGTGTGTGGTATGAAGGTTGGTGATGTCCATTGTGTGGTATGAAGGTCGGTGATGTTCATTGTGTGGTATGAAGGTCGGTGATGTTCATTGTGTGTGGTATGAATATCCTTGTCCGTGGCGAGGAATTGTTCTTCAGTTATGGCGCCTACCTTTGCCAGGCGTGTTCTCACTTTCCAGACGTTGGAGTTACTTTCAACGAATCTGTCCGAGTAAACACCGTGATTGTCTGACATTCGTCCCATGTGAAATATTAGGACTCAGGAGGCGGATGATCACCAATTGCTTTCAATGTAAAAGCGGAGAGGCTGTGCTGCACACCTAGACAGAAGGAAAACTATTGACCTGAATGAGTAAACTGTCGGAAGCCACCCCTACTAACGAACTAAGACAGACACTTGTCTCTTTCATGGCCACTTCAGTTGTGTTTGCGCTTAAAATTGTCAGTGCGTAGGACGCAGAATTCGCTTCCAATCCAATGATTCCCCGTCGTATCAGATTTGTAATATGCATAGCCTTGTTCTAAGCTACATTTGTCTATTTTGAGAGAATTATTCCATAACCGTAATTTTGAACAGAACGTAATTTTGGTTGGTAAAATGTACCTGCGTCAATTTCTTCGGTCGGGCTGAAACGCTGAGTTATGAAAGTTGAAAGAGCTTCTGTTGTGTACGATCCATTTGACCGCTCTGACTAAATAAAACGAAGAAAAGCTCAACTTGTTGTTGGACCGCATGTTCTGTCAGATAAAAAGGCTTCCGTGAGGAAGTGTTTGACTTCCATTGCGTCGTGTTTAGAGCTAGGGCTTTCTAATTTGTTTATAAATACGAAAAGGGGTCTGTTTTCAAACAGTTTCCAGTGCAAATCCATGCTACTGACAAGGTATTCGTCAATCCGGAATACGACCTCGTTCATGTACAGGTGTCCTGTCATGGAGATGAAGGCCGCGCTATGTGTTTTAATTAAGTCTCGTTTACGTATAAGCTAATTGTTTGCAAAATGGTAAATAAAACGCTAAGGTGTTTGACCCAATTTGATAACTTCATATGTTTATGAGAACCAACTTGATTAGATTGTTTGGTTCAAGGACAATAACGACCCAAAAGGGACTGAAAGGGACACCAACACACTTGATCATCAAAGCAATGTTAGCAGAGTTCTTGGGGTTATTTTTTTTCTCTAAATTCTGCAAAAATTTAAGAAATGTTGTAATTCCATAAAGTCTTATAATCATATTCTCATTTTATAGATTTATATTTTGTTTTTGAGAATGCAATTAAGGATAATGTAACTGCAGAAAAATGAATCTAGCATTCCATTGGACGATTTATTGTTTCAGTGGCAAACAAAATAATTATAGATTATCACACTGTGCTGTCGTGAGAACAATTTTCTCATCGCGAGCACGTGGATAAAATCGAGAGGCCACTGCTGGTGGAATCGAGTTTTTATCCACATGCGAGCGATGAGCAAAGTATTCGAGCGACAAATCCTGAAACATTGTGTGATAAACTGTTTATCATCTATATACTACCTTATATAATTTTCCATTCATTTAAAGTCATCTGAACACCATATTTTTTCAAGCGACATCTAGCTATATATTTAATGATCGACCCTCGGTCTGTGACAATCGTAAACAAATGTTTGTGCGGAGGAATTCAAAACCCGAAAAGGTAGGTGAACGAAAGCAAACTGAGAACCGCCCGTGGACAGATAAAGCGGAATGCAATGCACGTTATTGAGGGGGTCACTAGACTGAGCCACCACAACAGGACCAAGAGAGTAGAGGTCATCGGAGAAAGATGCCAAAGATCTCAAATAGTAGTCAGTAAATCTAGTCTGACCGAGCAAGAAGGCAACAGACAGAACATTCTGAAAGGATGACTCATGAAAGAGAACCCCTTAATCTGCGGCAAAATTTTAGAAGAAAAGAAACCGCAGACAATATATATTATTTATATAATTTACTTTTCTTATCCTAAATGTATCTTATCTCATAAAGAAAATATATTTTATCCATCTGATGTCTTGTTGTTAAGGCGACTGATATGAATCCATATACCATAGACCCGACCAATGTCTATTCCAATGGATAACAAGCATATTCTCGAAGATGCGTGATAATGTTTAAAATATTCATTTTAATCGTTATATTTACGTTCAAAACAAGAACGAACAATCTTATTTATCACCCTTAGTGGTTTCGTTTTGGTTGTGACGCCTTGTAAGCATTTATGTTACCACATGGTAGAACAGCTAAACACCGGTAATAATGTCTTGTTTTCTACCATTTCCATTAGGTGACAAATGGCATCCGAAACCATCAAAGTTTGAATTTGATGTCACAACACGCTTGGTCCCCACTGCTTTGATAACATGTCGGAAAACGCGAATTAATTCCTAATTGAAAACATTAAGGTGCAATAGTTCTGTTCTGTTTATGAAGATATTCTACAACGAAAATGTAACTATAGTCAATTACTCGTGCCTTTGGGTCGCATATGAACAAAAGCCAACACATATTGGCAACACACAAACTCGTACTGGCCAAATAGAAAAGATGTGTTTGCGCTTTGACCTTTTTTCTGAATAGCTTGTGCGCTTTGGCTTTCTTTCGGTATGGCTCCCGCCAGTTGTAGACTCCGCGAGCTACATGTAGGTTTACGGTCCATTTTGTGTGTTAGTTACACAATTATAGCCGCATCACGCACCAGGCAGAACTTAAATACAATATTTGGTGAGCAAGCAAAGAAATCTCTCCGGTGTCATTAAAATTATTCATCACAAAACGACTTCTCTGATGCTTCAATTTTAGCGCTTTTAAAGTAAAGAGGGTCTCGGGGACGATTTGTTTAGCTGTGCCAGCTTCTAGCATCGTGTCAAGATTGCTAACACTAATTACCTTCGACACGTTTTATCATGTATTTTTATCCTACAAAGTCTCTCATAAAAATAAAAAAAGTTACATCTGGATAATATTTTGACTCAAACCTGTTTGAAAAAGAAATACTGATAAAATAATTTTATTTCCCGAATATGCTATGATTTCTGAAGTTTCTAAGTCAAATGTTGAAAGATTTCCGTTTTACTGTTTTAACACGTTTCGAATATTATGGGATCGTGAGCTGCGAGCGTCTTCTTTGGAGTAAGAGCTTCGCTCTTCGTTTAAAACTACTGTAAAAATAGTTCATTTTGAACACTGATGTTTAAGTGTTTATGTGAAAACAAACAAAATGCTTTATGTTTGAATTCGAGACAGCTTCGTAGGTATTGTCTTTTTGGTTAGCAATATTCCCTGAGTTGGACTCGTGGAATAATCTTCCTGCGTGTATATCGATCCCAGATCATAGAGTATATACTGAAAAATCATTAAATTTAGCGGACTCCAAGTTCAGCATATTACGGAATTTTAAAGGACCAGTGCTTTTATGAAGTTGCGCTCTCACACTATATGCAATAGGAAACTAAATACAGAAACTTCAATTAACACAATCATAATTTAGCGCAATAGTTACAGCGCGGAAAATGCTGAACTAGAATACCACTACACTATGTATGTTTACAAAAGTGTATGCAGGCAAAAATTATGATTTTGCGATAAAGATGGATGTCTTTCTATGTAATGAAACATTTTAGTAAGTAAGAGAGAAGAACCCAGGCCCCCGGGGCTAACTTACTGACAAGTATTCTAAGGACTAAAATCAGAAACGAAACTCCACCACACTTAATGAGTATAGAGTAGTGAAGATCCAGTAGTAAAAACTGATAAGTGAATACAATTTGTGAAAACCGTAAAGTAAGTTCTGAATAGCGAAAACCAATTAGTGACAATAAAATAATAATTAGCGAAAAGTAAACCGCTGTGTGGATAAAAATCGTCGGTTTTTGATACTTTGTAGGTAGGCGTCAGATATGTTAATACTGAATAAGGAATTATAAAAGTCCATGTTACCTGCCTGCTTCCCGTTATCCGATGTTCAAACATTGTTTCGCACCAGTGAGTTTACACGACCATACAACACTGCTTATGAGTATTTTGTTAAACCAGTTTGACGGTTACAGTATCAAAGCTGTAGAGAAGATTCGATTATTTAAATGTTGATAACGTGACAAACTTCTACTATAAACATTAGTTTGTGAGATGTTTCTCGTAAAAGTCAACCCCCGAGTCACGATGGAGTCGCGCTGTCTGAACGAATCTCACACTACAAATGTACTGATGGAGGGCCGTATAGAGTTAACAGGATGTCCTGCATCTCACGCTCTCCACCCCNATGAACATGGCGGGGTAGGAGTTATTTGGTAGACAGGTTGTGCTGTGCGTGCAATGACGAATCCCCAGGGCGTGCAAACCAACGAAAGTTGATACTTTTGATGAACTTAGAACGCCTACAATTGACTGAGTGGCATTTTTGATATCGTTTTTAAATCACTAATTTATAACCGATATGTTTAAAATATAACACGTTGTTTCGATTTCGACATGATGTTCTTTTAAATACCACTGAAAACAGACATCAAAATAGACATCACAATGTCATCAACATCTAAATAGACATCACAATGTCATCAACATCTAAATAGACATCAAAACGTCATCAACCTCAAAACAGACATCACATATGTCATCAACATCAAAACAGACATCAAAATGTTATAAACTTCAAAAAAGAAATTACAATGTCATCAACATCAGAATAGACATCACAACGTCATCAATCTTCAGAAAAGACATCACAATGTCATAAAAAATAAGATAACCATCACAATATCATAAACATCAAAATAATATTATAATAATAATAATATACAACATTTATATAGCGCCCTATATAATTTGTAAAATTACTCTAAGGCGCTTTACAACATATGGATAATAGTAATGGTTATTATTGTGAAAACAAACAACAAAGGCTTGCAATCACTTATATACTTTTAACAAGCAATGTGCACATAATTGAACAAATAAAAGGATGGTATTTAAACTACTCTTTGCAAAGATTTTAAAATGCAGATGTGAAGAGGTGAGTTTTTATGTCCCTCTTGAACTTGGCCAGGGTATTTGACTCCCTAATAGCAGATGGTAAGCTATTCCACAACGTTGCCGAAACCCTCCCAAAGCATCTGTTTCCGTAGGTCACAGTACGAGATTTTGGGACACACAACAAAGATTCTGACTCCGACCGCTGTGACCTTGACGGCTGATACAGGGTAACAAGCTCCTGTAGGTACTGAGGAGCTGTTCCATTCAGTACCTTGTATGCGTATACCAAAATTTTGAACTGCGACCTGTATCGTACAGGTAACCAGTGAAACGAATAAAGCGCAGGTGTGATGTGCTCTCTCTTTCGAGTACGAGTAACTAGCCGTGCTGCAGTGTTCTGAACCCTCTGCAGACGACTAGTTAGTTTGTCAGATTTACCACAGAGCAGGGCGTTACTATAATCCCACCGAGAGGTAACAAGTGAATGCACCAACATCTTGCATGCATCTGCAGTTAGACACTGCCGAATACAGCCGATGTTCCTGATCTGGTAGTAACAGGATATGGCAATTGCGTTCACTTCTTAGAACTGTCAAAGTATACCCCTAGGTTTTTAACAGCTGGAACAGTCTCAATAGTTCTGGCACCAACCTTGAGCTGGAGAGCCATTGTTTGCTGACACTTTGGGGAAAAGACGATTAGTTCCGTCTTTTCCTGATTAAGTTTAAGCATGTTGGCGTTCATCCAGATACTGATATCTGTCAGACAAGCTTCCAGACTTTCTGAGACTGTATTC